ATATACTACTCACCCAATTTTGGTTCGTGTTTCGATTCCGTTTAACTTATTTTAAATTTATTGAAATATTAAATTATTTTAATTTGATACAATTTTGAAGTATTAAATCACCCGTTTATGCTAAACGGGGATACCCGTTTCCCCGCGGTTTTCCCCGATTACCCGATGGGGATCCCCGTTTAAATCCCTGCAGTTTTTTAAGTGGGGACGGGTATGGGGTTTTTAAACGGGGGCGGGGGGACCAATACCCGGCCCGAACCTAGCCCGTTGACATCCCTAGCTTATATCAACTTTTCATTTGTTCATGTAAACTCGCATGTTATATCATGTAACATATAAGAACATACATCCATTTCTATGTACTAATGCACATATAATAATCACATAACATTTTAGAAGTTACTTCTTACCATAGTAACTCCGCACTGGCTCATCGCAAGCCAATGTTTGATCAATAACATAAATACAATTTAATTGCACTCACCTTAGCCTTGGTTTGATTCGATCCTAATTCTTTGATTATTTTGGGAACTTGTTTAGGCTCTGTATCTACATAAATATAATTTTCAAAACAATTATCAGAAGCCTAAACCTTAAACTTATTGTTAATAACTTAAGCTAGTTTAATGAACCAAAATTCCATTTTTCATTTAGGGGTGTATCGATGCACTATGGGTGCATTGGTACACAAAATAGCTTCAAAATTTTCATGCATCGATGCACCCCTTAATGCATTGATGCACCCCTTAATGCATCGATGCACCTTCAAATTTTATCTTAGTGCATCGGTACACACTCATAGTGCATCGATGCACCTACCCAGAATATGCTATTTTATCCGAAAATCATCAACACTTCTCCCAAATTTTCATGTATAAAATCCTTATTATGCTACTAAATTCATCTATAACAACTTTAATAAATTCCTATCATTCCAACACCTTATAATCTTCCATATTTCATCTAAATTCTTAAAGCTAAGAATTATACCGAATTTTCCATGTTATCCAAACTTAATTCTAACACTTCTAACTTCTTATTCTCATGGATGACAAGTCAAATTCATCCTCCAAATTCATTTAAACATTCTTATTCAAAATTTCACTTAAAAACCAATTTTCTATAATCTTTCATAACTTCTTCGTCTTTTGATTTTAAGACAAATTAAGCTTTCCTTAAGCTTAATTATTATCTAAGGATCAAAACTCAACTTAAATTTCAGCTAATAATCAACAACAAAGAAATCTTACATGTTGCTTGAGCTCTCACGTGGAAGAGGAAGAAGAAAGAACATGAAGAAGAGAAGTGGAGAAAATATCTCCTTCATCTTATCCCCACCTACATATATATCATTTTTTATCATTTCTAAGTCAAATGGCCATTTTGCCCTTTCATTATTTTGATAATTACTAACAACGTTCAGGAAATATATCCACATAAATCATTGAACTATTCAACTATTCTACTTTTATCCTCAAATTCTAAAATTTTACAATTTAGTCACTAACCTGGTATTGAGGATGTTACATTTATTCAATAATTAATTGAAAACATGCATGAAACAATTAGGAGTTAATCTAATAAATGAACTAATTTGATGAAAGAACTAGATGATTTAAATGCAATGCATGCTTGAATGAACAACACACTTATTAAATGCAATGAATGTTATGCAAACTTTAAATTCTCATGCTAATTCATGCATAAGCAAAGTAAAGTGTTCCTTGTTTATTATTCCTTCTTCATCACGTTCCAAACATGATGTGAACATACTCTCCATGGCTGCTTGAAATTCCTTAGCCCTTGCTCGTGTGATGTAGCTACTTGGGTACTTATCCGAGTCTTTGCTATTGGCAATCATATCACTTGGTTTTTAAGGGAACTCAAATCTGCTGTTTCTACATCAAGCCAATTGACATTTGTTGCAGATTTTCAGAATGGTTTAAAGCGGGCACTGGCTGATGTATTTGATAAATGTTACCACAGCTATTGTTTACGCCATCTTGCTGACAAACTCAACAGATATTTAAAGGGGCAGTTTTCTCACGAGGCAATACGGTTTATGATCAATGACTTCTACACAGATGCTCATTCGCCGCGACTTGAAGGATTTCAGCGGGCTGCTGAAAGTATAAAATGCATTTCTCCTGAAGCTTACGACTGGGTCATTCAAAGTGAACCAGAGCACTGGGCAAATGCCTTTTTCGGAGGAGCAAGGTACAACCACATGATCTCTAGCTTTGGGCAGGAGTTCTATAGTTGGGTATCAGAAGCACATGAGTTTCCTATAACACAGATGATTGATGTATTACGGAGTAAGATGATGGAGTCGATCTACAAACGTCGTGTGGATTCGAGTCAGTGGATGACAAAGTTAACTCCAAGTAACGAGGAAAAGTTGCAGAAGGAAACTGCAATGGCTCGGTCACTTCAAGTGTTACTCACACATGATAGCATATTTGAAGTTCGTGGGGAATGTGCCGAGGGGACGTTTGTCAATGTTGTTAATATAGATCTTTGGGACTGCAGCTGTAAGGGATGACAAGTTACTGGTTTGCCTTGCCGTCATGCTATTGCCGTCTTTGAATGCGTTGGTAGAAGTCCTTATGAGTATTGTTCTAGATACTTCACAACTGAGAGTTTCCACTTAACTTACGCGGAATCCATTCACCCTGTTCCAAATATAGACAGACCAATTGAGGATGAATCACTCGAGGTAGCCGTAACTGTAACTCCTCCTCCAACTAAACGTCCACCAGGTCGGCCAAAGAAGAAGCAGGAATCAATAGACCTCATTAAACGGCAGCTCCGGTGTAGCAAATGCAAGGGCCTTGGCCATAACAAGAAAACTTGCAAAGAACCCTAGTGTAGATGTAGGACACTGTAAGTAGGCACCTATTCTTCATGGTTTTACAGCTATATAAGATTATATAGTTTTGATCGGCTATCTCGACTTTTCTTCTCTATTTTTCTTTTTATAATGCCTTTACCATCATTCTATTTGATCAGATTTTACTCATTTTATGTCTATCTCCATCATCCATGGCACTTCTAGATAGTCTTTGAGAATTAGACTGTTTTGTGTTATACTGGTAACTATACTAGTGATCATCGGCGGATGTTTCACTCGACAATCTTATTCCGTTAACACACCGATTCCTGGTTATAACGAGCACCGTTTCTATTTTGAACGTATATTTCCTATTACCAGTCAACGCTGCTTGGTTAAGAGCTCTGCTACTCTATGCTAAATTTTTTCAGCGTGTTTCATTCCTTATTTTGTTGTCCATTTCCTTCTCAAATAAATATATCGGATGCTCCCACTGAAACTTCAACGACATTAATTTGGACATAGTTCCGTGGCAGGGTTTAGTTGTTGAATGTAGTTTATGAAATAACTATATACAGATATATCCAGCTTGTACTACAAATTTTGGGTTGTGAATTTGATTCCTGGTTTTAAGCATGCTTGTTAAACTGTGAGTCTGTAATACTATTTCTGTTCCTGGTGATGTTGAGTGTAAATAGACTTTTATATTGTATTGCGTATGGTTTCGACTTTCGACACTATGTGCTGCATTTGCCTTCCGTTCTTGAAAAATTGCTCGTTCTGTTCACTCATTCTGCCTATTGCTCCTATTGCTCCTATTGAAGTTTCCGTGGGATGAGTGTTGCTCCTATTGCTTGCCTGCTATTTTCCCTGCATTTACCTGGGAACAAAATGCCATATGTATCTTAGTCGGATTTGCTTCTGGCTCTTCCTGTAATTCATCTCATATGCATGACGAACACATGATTTCCGTAGTTTTCGAAGATTCATGCTTAGACAAGGCTGTGACTCAGTTCATGCATTCTCTTCCTTTCCATATAAGAACTTCATACCATGTGATTTGGTGATAAGAAAATATCCCTTGCTGAAGAATGTGTTCTTTGTTGCAAACCAGTGGAATATTTGGATGATTTCTTGGGGATTGCTTTCTTTCACTACTTGTGTCATGTTTTGATCCCTCATCACCATTCCGAGTGCCGACTCGACTATCAGAAAGCGAGAGCATGCACATGCGGATGCAGTAACAGGGTAATGTCACAACATCGGAGCTGCGGTGGCCGGCTGGCCGCCCTCTATTTGATTTTTATTTGTAAAAAAAAGGATCAATAATTATGGTCTCATTTATTACTTAGTTTGGTGATGAGGTAACTAATAGGTAGGAGCATGGCATAACTCAATGTAACGTCTTCTTGGTTGAACTGAGATGTATTTACCAAGTTGGTTACTTTGTAACTACATCACGAATCGTATACCCGCTTTTATCTTAAATCCATGTCTTATCTTAAAAATCGGGTCAAATTTTGAGTAAGAGTGAAATATTTTTAAACTCAATTCGGATGATGGATAAAATGTATAATACTCATATCGAATTTAAGTAGGACAAAAACTTAATTCGACATTGATTCATGTTCATATCTCTATACTAATATAAACTTAATTCGACACTGATTCATGTTCATATCTCTATACTAATATAAGCTTGTCCCAATAATATTGAATTTTTTATCACTCGATTTAATAAATCCAATATCAATTTTAAATCAAACCTTTACAACCCACACTTTAAGTCAAATTATTCAAAGAGAAAGAAACTACTAACTTAAGAAGATAAAAAAAATACAAACTAATTTATTTCAGTGGTTAAAAAAATTATTTTTATTATTATATATCACAAGCATTAATGACTGTTGTAAGATGATGATTGAACAACAACAATAAAACCCTATTTTCATATGCATAAGGTGAAAGTAGGTTAATAGGCGACTTCCAACACTAAATTGAGAACAATTTCCGTAAATTATCTACTGCATGAGATGATGATTGAACATTGATTGTAAAAAATGGTCAGAGTTGATAAAAAAAATAAAGAAAGAACAAATGCTCTTCTTTAGTTCCCAATTCCCATTTTAAAATTGTTTCCAATAATGTATATAGAAAAAGGGGAAGACAACAGCAAAGCTTAGCTGCTTCCACTTACACTGTTAATCGTAAAAGGGCTTGTTTTCTTCCCTCATCACCTACCTCCGAAAACCCTAATTTCTCATTACCCAATGCCCAAAACCCGAACCCAGAAAAGAAAAAGCGTTGAAACCCTAAACACAGAATCCTTTCTTTTTCTTCGCTGGAAGATGCTGCACCCAGTTTGTAGCCTATCAATGTGGTTTCACTTCGGGGTTTAGCCCTTTTTCCATTTCTTTGTCTCTAATCAGCACTGCTTAAACCAGGTTTGTTCTGATTTTTATGCTCTTCACTGTATTTTGATGCCATCTAAAGCTCGAACCTTTGACTTTTTTGATTGATCTAGTCAAACGATTGACTTGTCTTGTGATGGGAAAAGTAGTACTTCTATTTAAGATCTAAGGGTTTGTTTTTGGGTACTTGATTTTGGTTTAAGATCTTGCTTCCCCACCGCACTTGTTTAGTGTGAACTGTGAAGTATGAGATATGCTATGTTTTGTGTAATTAGAAATCAGATTTGATTGGAATATCAATTTTATTTGAATTAATGCTTAGATATGCATTAATTGTGATTTTATGCTGTTTTTGATTATCGTTTGCCAGGCATATCGGTGTTGGTGAAATGGCATCTGATCTGAACAAAACTCTGTCTAAAACATACATGGGTTTGCAGCTGTGGGTACTTATTGTAATTTGCTTAGGAGTGGCTTTTTTAGTTATTCTTGGCATATCTCTATGGCTTAGCTTTCGAAAGAAAACCAAAACGGGTAATGATTTGCTTCTCGTAAGGCGAGCGCCTTATGTTTCGGAGGAGATTAAGGAGATAAGAGTTGATCAAGCTTCGGCGAACAGCAGTGGAATGAACACACTCGATGCTAAATTCAGTGACAGGGATTCGGAGAAGGTTTTGTTTAATGCCGAGAACGGAGATGAGAGTGGCCAGTCTGGTTCGTTTAATCATTTGGGGAATGATGTTAAAGGATCTCAACCGGCAGAAGAGAGAGGCATGGGGGCGGTTTCCACTTTCAGGCCTTCTTCGCATCCGTTAACTGCTCCTTCACCTTTGTCAGGCCTACCCGAATTTTCACATGTGGGTTGGGGTCATTGGTTCACTCTTAGAGACCTACAGCTCGCAACTAACCGGTTTTCAAAGGATAATATTATCGGTGATGGTGGGTACGGAGTTGTTTATAGGGGCAATCTGATTAACGGGACCCCTGTAGCTGTCAAAAAGCTTCTTAACAATCCGTATGTTGCATAGAAGATTTGTCCTTTTGTTCGTGTTTTGTTGTCTATTGCTTCTAAGGTTCGCTCATATGTGTTCTATGTTCTTTTAGGGGGCAAGCTGACAAGGATTTCAGAGTGGAAGTTGAAGCCATTGGTCATGTGCGGCATAAAAACTTGGTTCGACTTCTTGGGTACTGCATCGAGGGAACTCAAAGGTACTCTTATCGTTTTATGTAGTCCATATTATTAAGATTAATAAATTGTTATGCCATGGTTCTTATAATCCGGGTTGAATAAAAAGCAAAGATATCTTTACCAATGCTTTGTAAATTTTCGGCTATAACTCCAGGATGTTGGTTTATGAATATGTCAACAATGGCAATTTGGAGCAATGGCTTCGTGGAGATATGTCTCAGAAAGGATATCTTACTTGGGAAGCTCGTATAAAGATTCTTCTTGGTACAGCCAAGGCGTAAGTATGCATTTAACTAAATCTTGGTTGTTAATGATAACTTTTGGTTTAATCTCATTTTTGTTGCTTGAAAACTATATGTTGCAGGTTGGCTTATCTGCATGAAGCTATTGAACCGAAAGTTGTGCATAGAGACATAAAATCAAGTAATATATTAATTGATGAAAACTATGATTCTAAGATATCTGATTTTGGTCTAGCCAAATTGCTAGGCGACGGGAAAAGTTATGTCATGACAAGAGTTATGGGTACCTTTGGGTGAGCCTTGGCCGCCTTAATTTTTGCTAGTATCCTTACAGAGTCTAAAAAAAATATTAATCAAGTCTTTTTCTTCGATTGCACAATTTTCCAGTTATGTTGCTCCGGAATATGCCAACTCCGGCCTCCTGAACGAGAAGAGTGATGTTTATAGCTTTGGTGTAGTGCTCTTAGAAGCTATTACTGGAAGATACCCCATAGATTACGGTCGCCCTCAGCCTGAGGTACACAATGTTATGTCTGATGCTTTTGCCAATTATTCTGGAAATAGTACGCTCGATATAAAATTTCATTTGAAGTAATCTGTTTGAATGGTAAACTCTCAGGTAAATATGATCGAGTGGCTAAAGATAATGGTTCAACAATTCCGCTCGGAGGAAGTAGTTGACCCTAACATAGAGGCTAGACCATCGACCAGTGCTCTTAAAAGGGCTCTTTTAACTGCTTTGAGATGTGTCGATCCCGATGCTGATAAAAGACCAAAGATGAGTCAGGTTGCTCGGATGCTTGAATCGGAGGAGTATCCAGTTCCTCGGGAGGTTCGATTGTGATACCTTAAAACCAGTTAATAAGTATATTAACTTCTGTTAGAATATTAGAATGTTAATACAATTAGTTAGTATTTGTTATTCTGTTAGGATTTTAGTTAGTTGGTTAGCATATTATTAGTGGGCTATATAAGCCTAGCAATGTAGTGGATTAAATCAAGCATTTTTTGTATTTCATTTTCACATTTAGAAAAACACAACCACCGCCGCTCATCACTTCTTCACGCACACCAACTGTTCTTCATTTCTTGCCATCAATGGCCCCTTTCTCACAACTTCTTTGCTTTTAGTTAGATTGTCTTTAGGAGAATGTCCGGTTTAAGGTTGTAACCGTGGCTAAAATTTTCAGGATAGAAGGCGCAGAAGGAATCAGACAGCGAACACAGAACCAAGAAACTCAGACGCTGATAGGAGTGACAATCCGGATTCAAGGTCGGACAACAGAATGTACCACAACCCCACCTAGACTTGGAATGCCGTATGAGAGACGAGGCAAGCGAGGGATTTTTCCCCTTTTTAAATTATTATGGAAATTCGATTTACGTATCTACTTGTAGATTGTAGTGAAGATTAGATTATTTTCCATAAATGGCATTGTTCAGTCATGAGATTTTATGTACAGGGTCTATCATATGGATTCAATATAAATTTTTACCCGCTGTTTTAGTGTTTTCATTTATGAACTCGTGTTGCAGAGCTCGGATCTTACATGTGTGTGTGGTCGCATAAATTCGAGTGTTGGATACGAATATATGTCCGAATAATGGCTGTGGTTATGTTGTGTGCTTAATAATTGAAGCTTAAAATTATGGAGCATGCTGCTTGACTATGGGAACGGCCATGTGCAGATTTACAATATCTTTTCTTCCTATGGTCTTAAGTACTAATCTACTATCTAAGTTGTGTTTCCATGTGCTTGGATCTTTTTGTAACATCCTAAAAACCGGGTTAGTGACTAAAGTGTAAGATTTTAAAATTGTGTCTAATTTTGGAAAAATTGAAAAGTATAGGCAGTTAATTTGAAATTATTGATGTAGATTGATTTGCAAAATTTGAAAGAGAAAGGGGCATAATAGTCATTTAGCAAGGAAATGAATTTAAAATTTATAGTAGGATATTTTATATACACGTGGGAAAAAGAAAGAACAAAAGATATCTAGAAAATTCTTTATCCTTCTTCCTTCTCTATATCGTGACTCCGTAGCTAAGGTAAGGATGATTCTAATGGGTTATTTCTTGCACTTTATAAATGGGTTTGATTCTTGAGGTGTTAGAAAAACTTAAGGAAAGCTTATGGTTGTTTAAAATTCAAAGATGGATAAGTTAGGAAATATTGAATATAAAAGGTTTTTGAGTGAATTGTTGAGAAAAAGTTTGTAAGTGAATTTTTAAGTTAAAGTTGACTTGTCATGAGCTGAAATAAGAAATTTAAAGTATTAGAATTGAATTTAGAACATGTTGAATAATTGGTAAGATTTTTAGTTTCAAGCGATTATGTGGAATTTTGGATGTTTAAGTATGTTAAAGAGATATGAGTTAATTTTGTTAAGTGTAGTTGAGTTTAATGGCATGAAAGGAGTTTTTAAAGTGGAGTTTAAGAAAGTATTGATATATTTTCGGGTTAAAGACATTCTGGGTAAAGAGAATCTTTAATGGCTAATGGAAAAAAACGATCTCCCCTTAACAACAATCTCATCAAGCACATATATGTGACAACTAACGAACCGTCTTGCACAAACGAACAAAGGAACCAGACATCGGGAAAGCAATCAACCATGTATGCAGGGAAAATAAAAAACAGAGAAGAAGACCAATGAAAAACTGCACCGAGAGTCCAAAAAAATGGTAACCATGATACTTTTTACAAGAAAAAGGGCTAAGAGAAATTATTATTGTAAATACGATAAACTAGAACTAAATATGATAGGGTGGTGGTCGGAGACTGCTGCCATGAACGAAGAGATTTTGGAAACCGCTTTGAAACTTCCACAGAGAACTTTGTAACTTCCGCACAAAAAATTTTTCCGCTTATTTGAATTGCATTAAAAATTTTAAATAATATGTGAATTTTTATTTTAAAAAAATATAGCGGAAATCGTCACCCTGAGGTGACGAGCTATTTAAAATATTTTTTTGTTTGCTGAAAAGAACAATAAACTATGAACATTATAGTAGACCTTCAGAAATGCACATTAGTAAGAAAAAACTACAAACTTAATACATTAACATAAGGACATAAATAAGATTAACCTTACGAACACCATAAACATTAAATAAAATCATTAACATAGCAGTATTGATTAAGAAGTTTTAATATTCGTAATCAATATACTCATTAGAAGTAAGATTAATTCTTCAATTCCTCATTCTGTTTGTTGTTGTCGTTCACGTACGAATTGGAGTCATGCTTCAAGGTCTCTATCATCTATGTCTTTTTCTTGGTCGTTTGTCTGAGTTTGTGGGATATTCAAGTTGGAAGAAACATCCTCAATGGTACGAGGAAGGTTGAGATCATTGAACTCTACAAACAAATAAATAGAAATATGTCTTAATTATGCCAACAAGGTTTACATCATCGCTTAGATGAAATTTCGTGCATGATACTGGAAATTTATAATATAAGGAAGATATTTTTCTACTGCTTCCAAGTAGAACTCTTGTTTCTATGCTAAACTTCAACTCGTGTAGTTGAATGTTTTTTGGGAAACACATGGTTATAGATTTGCAATCGTAAAAAACAATTGCACAAACAACTGACATGTTTTTTGAAGTGAAAGTTTGAAGGTTTTTTTTGCTTCAATATCATAGTAAAGTGGCATTCAACTAACACATTAATAGTTGCTGAAGATGATTAAATGAGCACTGAATAGTTGGTGAAATGTTGCTTGAATTTTGCATTGAATGAGCTCTGAAAAAGCCAACCGGTGCATTATTGTTGCATTGAATGAGCTCTGAAAAAGCTGAAATGGTGCATTATTACTGCAATTAATGACCTCTAAAAAGTAGCTGAAACGATGCATTGATTGAGCACCGAAAAGTAGGTGAAACATTGAAAAATCTGGCCTAGTTAAAATACACGATTTTTTTTTATAATTTGAAGTGATAATTCAACACTGAAAAGGTTTCTGCTTTGAGTTGGTATATCACTGAAAATTTACAGAATATGATAATGCACCACTATTTTCACCCATTTTTTTGAATAGTTATTTGAATTCTACATTGAATGAGCTATGAAAAAGTTGAAATTGTGCATTATTGATGCAATGAATGACCTCTAAAAAAATAGCTGAAATGGTGCATCGATTGAGCAGCGAAAAGTAGATGAATCAGTGAAACATTTGGCCTTGTTAAAATACACATTTTAATGATTTTAAGTAATAATTCAACACTGAAAAGTTTTTGATTTGAGTTGATATATGACTAAAAAATTGCAGAAGATGATAATGCACCACTATTTTCACCCGTTTTCTGAATAATTGTTTAAATTATGCATTGAATGAGCTCTGAAAAAACTGAAATGGTGCATAAATGTTGCAATGAATGAACTCTGAAAAGTAGCTGAAATGGTGCATTGATTGAGAACCGAAAAGTAGTTGAATCATGGAATACTGAGATGACATTTCACTAGAGAGTTGTTGGAAGGTAATTAATGTGGGGTCGTATTTGTTTTAAATTGGCTCACTTCAGATGAATTTTCACAAGGCTTCTTCTTTTTTCAATTGTATTGAACAAAAAAAATCAATATCTTTCTGAAACTGAAGATGGCAAACAAGTTTCTCACAATCGTCCACCCTAATGGACAAGCTGTTGAAATTGAAGATGGTGTTCAATTCATGTCACAAAATCCCGTGAACATGATGCTCCTGACAAATGTAAGTCATGGGCAAATGAATATGAAAATTAAAAACTGTTGAGTTAATCGATTGACGGAATCAGCCAAGAGGGGGGTGAATTGACAATTAAAAATTTCGGTGGAAGCTTTTGCAGAAAATTGAAAAAAATTGCACAGCGATTTAGAGTGGTTCGACTTTCTCAACCAAAGTTTACGTCCACTACCTTAGCTCTCCACACTAAGGATTTTCCAATAAATTCACTAATTTGTTCTTTCTTTTGAGGCCAAAGAGATAACCTTACAACACCCTCAAGAATATACCCCAATTCTTGAGAACACTCTTTCTCAAAGAGAAGACTACAAATTTGCAAACATACAAGAAAATCTTCACAAGATAAATTGTTTGCACAATTCTAGAACAAAGAAAAGAACACTCAAGAATGAATACAATTGAGTACAAGTAGATTTCTTGAAAGCAAAATGAATATTGAATGAAAAATAGGCTTGAAATGCTCAAACTTGAGGTTTGATGCTTTTTCTTTGATTCTCTCTTGATTCTAGTTGCTTGTTGTTTCTTGTTATTGATCAATGGCTGCCAAGCTTGTTTAAATACACCTTCAAATGATTCTGAACGTTGGGGATGATTAGTGGAGTCAATAGAGTCATTTAAGTGTGAAAATAATTAATTAAAGCAGTTGGGAACGTCAGTGCATCGATGCATACCCTAGGTGCATCAGTGTAAAATTCAAATATTTTGACCGTTGGACTCTCAGTGCATTGGTGCACTAAGAGTGCATCGATGCATCAAGTGCATTCAATGTTTCAAAATAGCCAGAGTGCATCGATGCATGGCTGGTGCATCGATGCATCAAATGCATTCGATGTTTTCATAAAATCCTCAGTGCATCGGTGCATGGTATGTGCATCGATGCATGAAATGCATTCGATGTTCAATTTAATTCATGGTGCATCAATGCATGGATTGGTGCATCGGTGCATCACTCTGAAAATTGATTTTAGGCTTGATTTTGGTTCAAAATACTTTGTGAAAATTGTTTCAAAAATATATTAAGTATAAAACACAATTTTACACATTTAGTAAGGTTTGAAATTGATCTTAAAAGACTTGGAGTAATAATTTGATATTCGATTAATTGAATCGAATATACTTAGAAAATCATTTGTAAAATTTTAAAATTCATTTAAACTAATTTGTTATATCGAAACACAAAAATGTTTTCAACAATCTCCCACTTTTTGATATAACAAAACATTTGTGTTATTTTAAGATTTTCTAAAAATTTGAAATCAATTTTGAAAATTTACTCCCCCTTACTATAACACTTCTCCCTTTTAAAACATTTTAACACTTAACATTTCTCTCCCATTTTGTTAAATCAAAAAGACTTAAAAAATGATTTAAAAGCTGCTAAGATCATAATCAAAAGAGAGATTAGCCATTAGTTCCATAAAAAATATTCATAAGTAAATGTGAAATGACATAATTGGTCATATATATATATCTAATGATGCAAAAAAAAAAAAATAATTCAACCGAACCAAATATATATAAATTAAGTTCAAAATCCAATCATCCAAACCATAACAAATTCAAACATTAAACAATCCAAAACAAACAACTCCATGAAAAAGGTCTAATCCATAGGAGGGTCGGGAGGAGGATGATAATGAGCTCGAACTTCAAGAGTGAGCGCGTCCATACGTTCACGCATCTCCCGCTGAAACTCAGTAATCTGAGACTCCATGGAGGCAAACCTCAGATCAAACGACTCCAAGAAGGATCGAAAATATGGTG